CATCCATAATTCCAGCTCTTGGGAGGCTGAAGTAGACCTAGCTCTGTGAACAGGAGACCAGCCTGGTCTACACAAGAAGTTTCAGGCCAGCCAGGACAACATAGTGAGATTCCATGTCAAATAAATAAATAGATAAATAAGTAAGTAAGTAAATAAATAAATAAATAAATCCAACCAAACAAAAAATAATTCAAGATCATCTTCAGCTGCCCAGCAAATTTAGGCTACATAAAATTTTTGTTTCAAAAAGAAAGAGGAAGAAAGGAAGAAAGAAAGGAAGGAAGGGAGGGAGGGAAGAAGGAAGGAAGAAGAAACCAAACTAAGTAAAAGAAACAAAATGGAAGACTAAAAATCCTGTTGCTCTTAGCAGTAGGTCACGGATATTTTCAATTGTGATGATTTACTCAGTTGTGCCCAGGAGGAGTGCATCAATATCCATTCTACATGCCATTTTCCATAAAGGAAAAAAAAAATAGGCAACAGTCTAAGTCTATAAAAGCTAATATACAGGTTCTTCATCTGTGAGTGTGTGGAGAGCATAATGGGCAAGTGGTCATTTTCATTCAAGAAGCAAGTTACTTTTTTTCATTTGGTTAGCCCACACAGTATGTACAATACAAGGCGACCTCCTAGCTTAGGACATTTTGTTCCTCCTCTCCAAGCTAAGAAAACTTTTCAATATTTTCTTTCATGCCTGAAATTTAACAAACATTAGCAAACATGTTTATTTAGTTTTTTATTTGTGTGTGTACAGGGATATGTACCTGGAGGCCAGGGATCGACTTCAGGAGTTAGTTCTGTGTTTTGTCTCGTGAGGGCGGGGACTGAACACAAAATGCCAGGATTGGTGGGAAATGACTTTGCTTTCTTAGCCACCTCACTGGTCCCCAAATTTTGGATACCAAAGGGTGGGCCAGTGACTTGCTCACAATCCTCCATTTATTTGTATCATCTAAGAACAACTTGCCCAGAACCATCTTGCTTTCTCTTGGGTTTATCTGGGACACGGGACTACATACATGTTTTGGGAGAAAGTTAAAGAATCAAAGTTCAAGACAATTAACCAGGGAAAAGAAATTTCTCTAGTCCCTTGTATGAAAGAGAAAATCACGTGTTCACTGAACTATAATATTCATCCAACTTGCCCCTTGTTCTTTAACTGCAATAAAAATGGACCGGTGCTTTGGTGTGAATGAGCGTAAAGGCAAGGACACAGCAGCATTCTCACTGTGTCTGGATGCCCCAGCACCAACAGGGGATCACATAATTTCACATTAGTGGGTGTGACATAAAGAAAATGTCTAACTTTTCTGCTATGTTTAACTTATTCAGAACATGGAGTGGAAGACAGAGCCACGCACGAAGAGTCCCTAAGTTCTCCTTTAGAGGAGCAGGCTACTCACATCCTGGACCTGGATTATTTTTTCTGTGAATGCCATCTAATTTGATCAGTTCATTCCAATTCAGTTCTTTTCAACACATGCTCCTGAAGGCTTTTAAGGTTAGAAGGAAGTTTGGGGAAAAAAAAAAAAAAAAAAAAAAAAAAACATCAACAACAGTACAAAGAATCCAACACTGCTCAATTAACCCCACCAGCAGCATACTTTGGCCTTGTTTAAACACATTCCTCCCCTTACACAGATGCATATCTGTATTGTGCCTGTATTTGTTGACTCAATTACTGATATCACTTTTAGTATCTTAGAATAAGGGTGTCCTATTTCATGCCCATAATTCCACCATTGCCCTCAAGAAACTTATCATTGATGACCAAAGGCTGTGCCTGTGTCTCTGGGCATATGCATACACAGGTCAGAGACTGATTCTGAATGTCTTCTTCCAGCTATCTCCACTTTATTAGTCAAGATAATTTCTCAGAGTTTGGAGATTACCATTTCAGCTAGACTGGTGGACCAGCAAGCCCCCATCCAGCTTTTCACCTATCCAGTTTTGGGGTTACAGACATGCTACTGTACCCAGCTTTTATGTTTGGGAATCTGAATTCAGGCCCTTGAGCTCATACATCAAACACATCACCCACTGAGACATCCCCCCAGTCCCTGTCAATGTAATAAATATGTCATAATCAACTTCCCCAATATTTATGCCTATTTATTTATTTATCCTCTTTTTGAAATGTCTCATTGTGTCTCCCAAGGTGGCCTAGGTGTGGCACCCGCGCTACAATCAGGGGAAGGCCTAGAGATTGAAATAAAGACAAGACAGCTGGTCATTCGTTCAATGGCAATGTCAGAACGCTGAATGCTGAATGCCGTTTATTGAGGGGATGGAACATGCTTAAATACTGACTTACAGCACAGTGAAAAATTACAGGAATTTTAGGCTTAGCTCCTCCCCACGAGATGTGTATAGTGTGTTATACGGGAAGAGTACCAACAACAGGTTTGGGGCAAGGAGTTCCTACCAACAGCTTCAGGCTTGCTCAAGGTGCCTGGGGGGAGGGGCATGCAGGGTCCTACACCTAGGAACTTGCTATGTAGGCCAGACTGGACTCAAACTAACAGAGATCCACCTGCCTTGCTGGTGTTGTTTCATTGATTTTTTTTAATTGATTTTTTTTTTGTAGAGTATCTTTTGTAGAGTATCACACATTGCACTTTTAATGTCCTACCCTCCACCTTTTTTCTACTTATTTAGACTTCTGCTGTGACTTGGACATAATTGAAGAGTCTAGACCTGTCGTCTTACTTCATGCCCAACAGGTTAGAGTTAGCTGGTTTTCTAATGACACTTACAGGTTTTTAGAACAGAAACAACAACAACAACAACCTGTGAATAAGCTGCTTTTCTATCTCTAGCCTATGTTTTTCCACATTTGGAACTCACCTCACCATTCTCTGATGCAAAAGAATCCCCAAAGAGCCAGACACTTAGCTTTTCTTACGGAGTGTATCATTCTCCCATTTATGCCTTTCGTTTATTTGTATATCCTTCGTCTTCTTAACAATGAAAGGTATTTAAAGGCAGATCTAATTTATCTTTGTGGGCTGGCATCTAGCAAAGGGTGGTTCACAAATTAGGCATTCTGTCTCTGAATTGCATATTCTGCCTTCGTATCTATCTGCTGACTGCATGGCTGCAGTATCTTTCACTGCTGAGACATTTTGAGTTGGTTAACAATTTAAATTCTAAAACCATTTACATAACTTTATTTTCTTTGTATTTTTATTTATGTGTATGTGTATGCCACATGTGTGGCTGCTGGGGAAGGCCAGAAGAAGGTAGTAGATCCTCTGGAGCTGGAGTTATAGGCAGTTTGTGAGCTGTCCAAGGATATGATGGAAACCAAACTATTCCTTTGCAAGAACAGCATGTATTCTTAACTTCTAGTCTGTCTCTCTGGGTATTTGTTTCTTTACATGTGTGTTTTTTGTGCATACAGTAGTCTGCCTCAAATTTTTTTCTTTTTAATTTTTAGTAAAAACTAGAACATGTATGTCATATGCCTTAAGAAAGTTCTTTCATAAAAATTGTAGTATTAAATGAGGAGACTCTTTTCATCTAGAGATTTCATTGTTTATCTTAAAATTTTTAAAAGCAAATTGTGTGCGTGTGTGTGTGTGTGTGTGTGTGTGTGTGTGTGTACACTTGTCACCATGTACTTGTGGATGCCACAGGGAAACTGTGGAGTTGTTCTCTCCTTTTGCCTCTCTGCATGGGTTCTGGGGTCATGGTCAGGTCGCAGAGGCTTGTGTGGCAAATGATGTTCCCCACTGAGCATCCCAACCCAGAGTCCATTCTTTGGCACTGGGAAACACTTGTATATTGTTTACTTGGTAGTCTTCTGCTGGTGTGCTTCTGTCTTCTGGGGAAGAGGGCCCTGTCATTGGGCTAACACCGACCCTCACCCTCTTTTATTCGCATTCTCTGTTTTCTGTGCCATTCCTTTAATGTTTGCCTTTAACCTATCATACAGTTTCTAATATATGTTTTTCTTTTCTTTCCCCCAAGACAGGGTTTCTCTATGTAGCCTTGGCTGTCCTGGAACTTGCTCTGTAGAGCAGGTTGGCCTCGAACTCAGAGATCCATCTGCTTCCCCAGTGCTGGAATTAAAGGTGTGTGCCACCACCACCCAACTTTAAAATATCTACTTTTCAAAACAAGTTTTCAGGACTTTGTCTTTGTTTTCTGAGTTCCTATTTATCTTATCAGTTTCTTGTTTTAGGACTGTTTATTTTTCTTCTCTTCCTGTTGCCTTTCTCCAGTGCACCAACCTCCAAGCCTCAGCTCTATCCCACTAGGCCAGTTATCTCTCATCTTCCGCCCATTTTCTGTCTTCTGGAATCTCAGTTAAAATCCTGCCCTCCAATGGACTTTGCATGCTCCCTTTTCCTTTGTCCTCATTGTGGTGAAGTGCTGGGAATGAGAAGAGATAAATACCTGAGCTCAGTTTGCCATCTTCAGTTGGTCTGCTTTATTTAAAAGTGTATGGATAAAGAGTCAAGAAGTGATGCTCTGCTTAGGAGACAAAGGTTGGAGAGCTCAAAGTTTTCTACTGAGTAATCTGGTAAGAGGAAGCAGCATGTAGATACTGACAGGGAGATAAACTCTTCTGGCGTTTAGACGCCCCAAGCTGGATAATGATAGCTCTCTCTACAAAGAAGCTTGGTTAACGATAGCTGACACAAAAGGTCGCGTCGGCCCTGCAGTGGTGGTCCTGTGAAGGTCTCAGTCTTTGATTTCCTCCAAACTTTTGCACCTGAGAGAATAAAGCTGCAGCCACAGGCCACTCCTAATCCTACTCACTCATGAAGAATGTCCCCTTTGAGCCACTGTGATACCTGCTGGTTACTCCCACAGATTCCTCAGGATTGGCTGGGACTGCAAATAAAACACTGTTTGCCTGTAATCAAGCCGATAAGCTACAGTATAAACGAAGGCAGGCACCTGTTCTCAGGCTACCACTGTGACACTTATTCTCTCTCTTTTAAACGTTTCCATGAAAGACCTGGGAAGGACCCGTCGTCTCCGGCCAGAAAAATAAGATCTTTAAGGACGAAAAGGCCCAAAATGGGATTGCTGAGTTCAAAACATCCCACAGGCAAGCAAGCCCACATTCTTCTTCTGGGACTCGACTCGGCTGGGAAATCTACCCTGCTGTATAGGTTAAAGCTTGCTGAGACTCTCACAACCATCCCAACCATCGGCTTCAATGTGGAAATGGTCCAGCTGGCCAGCGGTCCTCCACTCACCGTGTGGGATGTTGGAGGACAGGAGAAGATGCGCACGGTCTGGGACTGCTACTGTGAGAATGCAGATGGGCTGATGTACGTGGTGGACTGTTCTGACGGCAAGCAGCGACTCGAGGACTCCCGCAAAGAGTTCAAGCACATTTTGAAGAATGAACACATCAAAAATGTGCCCGTTGTCATACTAGCCAACAAGCAAGACTTGCCTGGTGCTCTGAGTGCCGATGACATCACCAGGATATTCAAGGTGAAGAAACTGTGCAGTGACCGGAACTGGTACGTGCAGCCCTGCTGTGCAGTCACTGGAGAAGGGCTGGATGACGGCTTCAGGAAATTATCCGAGTTTCTGAAAAGCCACCTGAAGACAAGAGACACTTTAGCATTCTTCAAGCAGAAAGGAGGCTCCGGAGCAGTCTCAGCCTCAGAAAGACAATGATGTAGTGGAAATGGGAATTCTGTCTTATTTCCACGTAATGTGAAAAAGTGAGTTACTGAGTTAGCAAACTTTTCCGGACATTAATTTCACCCCGTCCAGCTAAAGAAGGAACTTTATAGCAAACTATGGGGTAATGGTCACTGAGACGGAAAAATTTATCTTTTGAAAAGGTTAATGTGTTGGATGATTTGAAAGTCATGTTTAGAACCAGATAAATGTTTACTAATTTTATATGACCACTAGAGTAGTAGCTGTCTGCTTATACAGTCAGGAATCTTTCAAATGGTTCCCAGCTGTTGCACTGTTACAGGTATTGAATTTCTACCCTGTTCCTGGGTAATAACTGAGTGGTGAGAAAAAAAATTAAATTATGGAGAGGGAAAAGTTTATGTTACCCTCTTGAAAGTCTTTGTTTTCTAAACAATATCCCCCCACTCTACCCCCAAACCTGCCAGGTTTTTGAAATCTATTTCTGGTAACTTCCTTCAGTGAGTCTTTCTTAAAATATATTTTTTATTCTTTGAGAATTTCATACAATGTATATTGGTCATTCTCTCTCTCTCTCTCTCTCTCTCTCTCTCTCTCTCTCTCTCACACACACACATACACACACACACACACACACACACAACCTCAGATCAGTTGCTCAGAGGAGGGCTTCTGTGGGTAGACTGAGTTTAGAGTTCCGCTCTAGGCTGCAGGCTCGGGACCTGTCTCAGAGGAACGCAGTTCAGCAGCCCCATTACCTGGGATCACAGGTGCTCTTGGTACTGACCAAACAGGAAGCCAAGCCAGACTTTGCTCCCAGACACTTTACAGTTCACCTGGTGAAGTGACACGCATCTGGTAGCTGGAGCAAGGCAGTAAGTGGGGCAAGTTATTGCTCCTAGTGATACCCAGGGAAATGGGGAACACTTCTTGTAGGAGAGGGAGTTGAAGAGGGTGTCTAGCTACCAGGCACCTCACGCAGGTGGAGGTCAGTCTAGAAAATTTATCACTGGGTGATTCTCTAAAGCCATCATGACCAAGGAGAGGGGTGGGTGGTTGGGTGGCAAATGAACTAAGGATGGAGTTGGAATCTCCGTGAGAGGAGTGAAGCTTACAGAGTTCCTGAGACTGATGCTTTCCCCCTTTCCATCCCAGTGAGGCTCCTTTTGTGTGGGATAATGCCCCATAGCAATGCCATAGCAACCCCATAGAAACTCCAGTGGCTACAAATCTTGAGGTGATAGGGGAAAACAAAAGCTTAGTGAGTCAAGTGAAGGGAGAGATGGCTCAGAGGTTAAGAGCACTGGCTGCTTTTCCAGCAGGCCTTGAATGAGTTCCTGTTTCATGGTGACTGGCTCACAATTACATGTGACTCCAGTTTCAGGGGATTTGACATTCTTTTCTGGGCACCAGTATGTATGTGGCACACACATACATATACACAGAAGTAAAAATAAAGATAAATCTTAAAAGAACATAAGTCAAGGGTGATGGCTCCTGGGTTCCTCTAAAATTTTCTTTTCTCCTTGTAGCTATTATTTGCTCAGCAAAGATCCTTCTGGGCTTCATAGTATGACATATAATAATGGTGACTCAGTTTAAAACAGTGTATACCAGTCATCGGGATAAACACTTTCCCATATCTTTTCATGTAGTGTTTATAACTGCTCTGGGGGGGGGCATTATTATTTCAGTTTACAGATGTGAGCATCGGGGCTAAACATGGTAAAATCACATCTCTCTCTCTCACACACACACGTGTGTGTGTGTGTGTGTGTGTGTGTGTGTGTGTGTGTGTTGGGGGGGTGAGAAGACAAATTTGAGGAGTCAGTTCCTTCCACTGTGTAGGTCTCAGGGACTGAACTGAGGAGGTCACAAGCTTGGCAGCAAGTGCCTTTACCTGTTGAGACATCTCTCCAGCCAACTACTTTTCTCTATTTCTTTTTATTTTTGAGTTTAATAATACAGTCACATCATTTCTCACTCTTTTTTCCTCCTTCCAAATCCTCCCACATACCCATCCATGCTCTTTTTCAAATCCATGCTCTCTTTTTTTCACTAATTTTAACTTAGAAATTGCCAGAGTCAAGGCTGGAAATCAGGCGAAGCTCTCTGCTATTCCTCACCATGTTGCTCTAGAGACAATTATCTTCTTTATGTTCAGTGAGCTTCCAGACACAAGAGCAGGGGCTGGGCATGTAAGTCACTGCTAGAATAACTTTACCAGCAATTCAAGACTCCCTGGGTTTGTTCCCAAGTACCAGGGGGATGGGGGAACTTTAGGCAATACAAATTCAATAACAAGAAAGTTCTTAGAAAAAAGAAGGCAAATACACTAGCTAAGCATGTTAGCAGATATGAGAAACATGTAGAAAGATCTGTTATGATTTCAGGGAGCCCTGAGACGATGATGCTAAAGGTACAGAGTAGAATTCTTTCTTAAGTTTCACAAGATGACTAAAGCCCCATGCATATCTTCCCTTACAGTTTGTGTGTGTGTGTGTTAGTCTTAAAATTAGGAACCACTCATTTCAGAATATCTGAACAGAGACTGTCTCTTTTGTTTCTGTTATTTGGTAATATGAATTAGGTCAATCTAGTATGATATAAAACTTGAGAACAGTTTGGAAAACTATTAAAAATACCAGAAGCTTGGGTATGTGTGATTGGTGTAGTATAGTAGTAGGAATATACATTCTCAAGGAATTGAAAAAGTGGTATATTCCTGTCATTGAAAACTCTTTCCTCAACAGTGAGTGTCCTCAAAATCTGTGCCAATATTTTCCAGGAATGTGCAGTGTCAGTTGTACCTGGGACCCACTTTCCCAGCAGTTACTAGCTTTTTAATATTAATTTCACCAGTTTCCCTTCAATATTTCCTTTCCTTCCTGCTCTCTCTCTCTTTCTCTCTCTCCTAGCTTGCTTTCTTCTACTCAACAACATGGGTGAGTGAACTGGTACACACACACACACACACACATACACACACACACACACACACACACACACTCATGCAAGCATACCTCCTGAAGACTCTTCACCCTGAAACACTAGTAAAGGGTGAATTTGAGGGGATAGTAAAAGACAAGCTGTAGGGAAAGATTTCTTAGTAGATGAAAGAGGCTATGCATACTCATACTTTGATGTTTATCATTATACTTTTTACTTATTCTTTTATACATCTTATTTATTTTGTGTGAATGGTACTGGAGGCTGTACACAAGGTCTCATGCATACTAGGTGAGTACTCTCCCACTGAGCTGGGATACTCCCCTCAGACTTCTTTATTTTATTCTACTTAATACATTCTTTCAGGCATTTCATCTGTACGTTTTTATTTTTATTCCTAAATAAATTTGATTGTGTATATCTGAGGTTTACCATTTGATATTTTGGGGGACATGGAGATTATAAAATGGCTTCTGTAGTGTAGCAAGTTATCATCTCACATAGTTTCTTCTGAGACAGAAACAGACAGAATGGGTTTATTGACAGAAATCCTAAATACCATGGAGTTTTCTCCTGTCCCTGTTACACACTGAGGCAGAACAGAAAACATGCTGCTGTGGACCCCACAGGGATAGAAAAGCTACCATTTCTGAAAAGTGCCAGATCCAAAATCTAATTCTTAGACTTTCCAGATAAAAGTAAAACTTAAGTATTTCAGTTTTTCAGTCTACATATTCTAAGTAAAAGCAATTCCTGGAAAGCATAGTAAAAATGATAAATAAACAAACAGCCATCATATACTTGTATTATCTTCCACATCACTGAGTGTTTATCTTTATGAGCCTAGTGAAGTGTTTATGTTCTCTCTAAATTCCTTAAATTCTTTGATAAAAATTCATGGCAGGTGTTTTTGCTTGTTTTTTAATTCCTGTGTTCAAAATTCCTGTATCCCAGAGTTCATCTAAGCAGCTCTCATCTGAGAACGCTTCTATAGGACTAGTGGGTTAAGGGAAGACATGCTGTCTTGGTCATTTGTGATATTTTTGGTTTGGGGATTTGGCCTGGGCTGGTGGGCTTTCTTTGGTTGTGTTTGATGTGGTTCTAGCTTTCCTCAGATCAGGCCAATGCAGGAACTGCTGGGGGATAAATTGTTCAGCTAGAGTAGGTCTGTGGGTGCAGAGATGGGCAGAGGCACAGGAAGAATGGGAGAGGGGGAGAATGTCTTACCTGTCAAAAGAGACCTCTGTGTGTGTCTCTCTGTCTCTCTCTTTTTCAGAACAGGGTTTCTCTGTAGCTTTGGAGGCTGTCTTGGAACTTGATCAGTGGACCAGGCTGGCCACAAACTCAGAGATCTGCCTGTCTCTGCCTCCTGAGTTCTAGGATTAAATGCACGTGCCAGCACCGGCTAGCCAAAAGAGACTCTTGAGCAAAGCATATTTGAAGACCAATGGACCTAGGCCTGTGGATTTGGAGGTGACCACAGACAGGGTGGGGGTGGGCTTATGGAGGATGGACAGGAAAATGAAGCATCAATTCACTACATAATAGCAGCTTTGGAGCCAGAGGGCTGGCAGTCTGTGGGATTGGAACTACTATACTTTCTGAGATAGCATCTCACATAGCCCAGGCTGGCCCTGAACTAGTTATATAGTCAAGTTGAACTCAAATGCTTGACCCCTGTCTCTACCCTTCAAGTGCTGAAATTACAGGTGTGTACTAACACAACTTAAACTTGTCACTATCCAAAAAAGATTGAAACAGTCAAGAGACTTCTCCTTTGGCACTGAAAAATGTAACCTAATAATGTTGCAGGGATTCCAGTCCAGCAGTTTCAACATTGTGTTAATTTTAAGACTTAGGTTAATGTTTATGTTAAATGTTAATATTGTTGGGCTAAGTTAAATCAGACCCGAGAAAGCACACACAAATTACAAAGGGTAGTTATTAGATGACTTAAGTATAGGAGTAGCACTTTCACAATTAGGTTCATTTTGTTTACTTGAAATTCACGTGGCAGACAATTGGGGATGTAGCTTGATGATAGAGCATTTAACCACTATTTGTGAAGTCCTAGGTTCAATCCCCATAGAAGGGGTGAGGAGATGAGCATAGTGATGGACTCCTGTAATCCCAACACTTGTGGGTAGCAGAGATTCAAGGTAAGATTGGGCTGAGTGAGGTCTGCA